TATAGTCCCGCCGTCTAAGGCAGACGCACACGGGTTCAGAGCCCAGATAAATAATACGTGCCATAAAGGACACACGAAGAAGGGACCATTGCATTCTTAATGTCACTCCAAAGGAGACCGGTTAGTTTGTCAGACAATGACATTCTAAGAGCATCCGATCAAGTGCATGGTCAGGTCAAGGGGGAATGTTTAGGAACAAACTAGGATAACTGGCGAAACTGCTACGTAGAATCAGTAGGTATAGTGATTTGTCGTCCATCTTGCAGCCATATTCGAAGTCAATTATTCAGGAGAAGGCAGGGCATATAGAACTGGACTCCTGGTTACCAATGCCACCAATGTGCAAGCCCTGTCACATTGTCTGTGTTTCCAACTCCCTTTTAAGATCCGAACTGGCCTTGTCGGACACCTATGCATCTATCGAAATGGACTCACTCAATCACTCGTTCACTCACTCACAACCCACCCTTCGCTCACCAGGATACTAACACCATCACAGAAGTCGCTCCCCATGCGACCACACAACTTGATCGCGCTCAACACTTCTTTGACGCTTCTGTATTCGAACAAGGCGAAGGCGACAAAACATGCAGAATTTAATGACGTCATAAATTTCGAGACCTCTCATTCAGCTGCACACGTGGGTCTATTATGCGGGTGCATATAGTGAGGGGGGAGGGGGAGAGAAGTCATCCAAGTATGAGAGAACTGGTGCGGCGTGATTTGGAGTGCAACAGTTCTCTCATACTTGGATGACTTCTCTCCCCCTCCCCCCTCACTATATGCACCCGCATAATAGACCCACGTTTCAGTTTACCTATCACGTTTAAGCTCTCTAGGTCGATCGTTGATTGAACAGTTTTGCCTTGTAATATAACTATGCAATGACCGTGTGCAGCTGAATGAGAGGTCTCGAAATTTATGACGTCATTAAATTCTGCATGTTTTGTCGCCTTCGCCTTGTTCAAATTTATCCCGGGAAAACACTGCTTTAAGCTTCTGTATTCATCGTAAACCAGAGACACAGAAAAACCCGTCAGCGGTACCGCTATGGCGTTAACCTCTCCCTACTCCCCGGCCAGCTACTGGTCTAGTCAAACATTTATGCACCAATCTCCAAACGAACAAATTACCGTCACAAGAGCTCCATTCAACAGCCATCGAGATCCCTTAATCTATCCCTCCCCCATCACAGGTCTGCAAGCACCTCACTGGTCTGCTCGGGCATATACGCAAGCATGACAGCTAAGGCCTCAAGCATCACGCAAGTAGCAGCCCTTGGGACGGAGGTGGTCATCGTTGATAGGAGTAGTACAACTATCATGTGGATGTGTTCGTCCCCGGCCCCCAGACGGGTTTAAAATGACGCTGTCTGACGGACCAACCGGTTTCCTTTGGAGCGATACTAAGAATGTAGTTTGTCTTTTATTGCACCGTTCATATCTGGCTCATGGCTCTGAGACCGTGCGCATCAGCCTTGGACAGCGGGGTTATACTATGTCAACCACTGCACGCAATCTCATCACCACTCGGCTGAACCTTGACACGACACTGGAAAGTCTTGAGAGTTCTAATGGTTGTTTCCAAAGCTCATGTCAACGTGAACTGGTTGAGGGCAATTTGTCATATTTTTTGGAGTGTGGAAATTGCAACTCTGCTGGAGAATAGTTGATAGGTCATGAGGTTCTATGGATCTTTCCCACGTCGTCCCCATCAACCCGGGGTCACCGCACGTAGCCGGGCGGCGGCAGTCGAGGACATTTCATGAGGGACAAGGATTCTAGGTGACGTACATCAATCCACGATCTCCATCAATCATACGGTCGTTCCGTCTAGTCTCGGAGTTACGATTTTGAGCGCCCTCAGACGGTCACCTAGCTACAGGATGGTACTGGTGGTTAGAACACTGGTCCGCGCCTCGGACGATTGACCGTACAGTCCAAGGATCAGATCAGTCTGGGTCCAAACACCCCTTCCACGCCGAATTATATAGGACTGAGGCTGGCTTAAGACCGCAAGTAAACTATAAATGGCCACCTCATTCCCCCCTGCGAAAACTGTCACTATTTATTCACCTGAGCCTGTAACCGCACGGGGACCAGACTCGCGAATAAGTGAGTGCTGCCAGAAAGCAGGTCGGTAGGTGTCTCTCCTACCGACATCACATTATCTGCCGGATTGACTTCCAGCGCACTTACCAAACCACGCGCCAGTGTCCGAGATCTCATCGCCAGACTGACTGACCCTGTCTTTGGACAAGGACATCCGTGGCTGGGACAAGAGATAAACTATGAGCGCTGTTAACTTGTTGTTGATTTTGTCCTCTCCTTTGGTGGATCTCAGCCTCTGTCGAAAAGTTGGGGCAAATGCGTCCACGGTTGCGGTGGCTAAGTCGTCTGCATTTTTGCCTCATAAATTCAGTGTTCAAAACTCGACGGTTTGGGGGGTGAGAATATGAAATTCTTTGCGACTCTTTTTATGTATTGGTGTTCCGTGCGACGTTATTATATCCAACAGGGAGTTCAAAGGGGTTCGCCCACCATTCCCTTAATAAAATTAGGATGAACTGAACATTTCCGAGTAGTGTTTTTAACTCCCGCAGAAGGCATGTGGTGAAACGACAGGGCTTAGAAGTTCTTGTTGGAAAATACAGGCACTGAGGGTTAAATGGGGTTGGAAACTAAAGATCAAATAGCCTAGGGAGCTGATGCGACATAAGTTGAATGTTCAAAGTCAAACCTTGGAATGCAGCTCCTAGCACTGACGCTAAAAGTAAGTTGATTACAGGACAAAAGGCGCGGTGAGACCAACTTTCCCCTTTAATTCCCCTTTCTTTCCATAACTTCCGTGGGTGGTCCTCTTGGAGGCAATAATCTCCAGCCAGTGACAGACTGCAGGCAACGACTGAACTTCAGATCATATAGTGGCACCACTCTGGGTGCCTGTTGCAACGCTGCGTCTCTCGCGTACCTTGGCAGTCAGGTTCTCAGCCAATCACCGCTGTCCAAACCGGCTAAATCATCTTCAAATCTGTCTCAGGCGTACCCTGACCAAGGCGCTGCGACGCACTCTTCACTGCCACTCGGGGCGCCGCTCTTGCGGCGCTGAACGTGTTATCCCGTCCGGTTGCTAATTTATTCCAACCGGTGCTCCTGTCTTTCTGTAGAGAATGGAGTATCCTGCCGGCTGGCGTCCAACACCTCTTTCTGTTTCGGACCCGACAAGAAAGTCGTAGAGGCTAGGGTCTCCCTATAGCTTAAACCGCCACGATAATCATGCGAGTCTACCAGAGGGCCACAGGAGCTTTGATAAATTTTCCGCACCACAAAGAATCTAGAACACCACTCACAGTAAATGTGCTACCTCATGGAATGCTTACCAGAATTTTAAAATATGTTTACTACGAGAAAAGATTATTTAATTATCTTGTAGTATAATCCCTAGATATTTCAATCACGTCAGGATGTCGGCTTTCAAACGACCTCCTTTCCTGCCGTCTTCAGAAGCTGCACTCTGTAGAAATGATTGCTCGGGTAGGACGGGTGTTTTTCAATGACTTCTGATGCCACTATAAATTCAAGTATATTCAATGGAAAACATGCATACATATATTTATTCTCGCACTTATTGGGTAGCAAATTGTAAGTTCTTAAAGTTTTATGCTTGAAGAAAGGGTATCTTTCGATTTTAAACAAGTTCCAACTTATGAGATCCTTTACTACCGTGGAGTATTCATTCAAAAAGTATTATATCTGTCCATTTATCAGAGGGTGCTTGTAAAGTATATAACGTGGTCCACATCAACTGCAAGATTCCATGAGCCCTATATGATGTCCGCTAAATAGTGTGTAGAAATATATGGTCACCCTTACACGGAAAATGTACAGCTTATAGTTCGGAAACCCTGAATTCAAGTGTAGCAGCAGGCCAGGTTCAAAATTATTCTGGAATTGAAAACTTTTTTTCAAACCGAAACCTATCCTTGCTTCAAACAAAAAGTTTGAAGACGGAATTGACTATCAAATAAGTGTCACAAGGAATGTTTCCATCCATATTTTCTATGAAATATATTTGAATTTATAACCGAAAATCAATGGACGACGTTTATACTACTAAGGTAGTTGTTTTTGCAGAGTGCAGTTTCTGCAGTCGGCCGTAAGGAGCTCAGCCCTTGACGTGACTGGGATATCTGGGGATTATGCTACACAATAATGGGCATCGCAGCCCTACTTATGTACTCTTTTTAACCGAAAGTATATTTCAGAATTTCGGTTAGCACTTCATAAGGACACTGCTGCATGTAAGGACAAACCAACGCACCTGGGCGGCGGTTGGCGCTCTTTCGTGTTAAATCAATCTCCCTGGATCGTTTCCTGCCCTCGCCTGTCTGCTTTTTTTCCTGCTGCGCTTTGCTGCCGTCAACCTTTTGCACAATCGATTTTCTCCAGGTCCCTTACATGCATACTATTTCAGCTATCCCGAGTGTAGGGATGTCCAGTTGTGGGTCCACGTGACGGGCGTTGTAGGTCGCTCACCTACTTACAGGTGTAGACTACGCCTAAAGTCTATTAACTGGCACCCAACTATCACATGTAGCTCCCCAAAGCTAGGTTCTGCCTAGCGGCCACACCCCGGTAACCGCCTCGACCGGCGGGCCAAAAAAGGTGAGGGTATCCGTGTGTGCGCCTCCGCACACGGTAACTCGGTTCCGCTGGCCCGATGGATTGCCGCCTCGGTATCTCCGAGACGAGACTCCTACGCCAAGTGCTTTGTTGAGGTTTTTCCTTATTTCTTAATTATCTGCGGAAGACGGGTTCACTAGTTAGCCGTTTGCCATCAGTCGCACTTGTATGTCTTTATCGACCTTGGGGCAATTTCCCCAGGCCCGCTTCGCATGTCACTGCGGTTACCACTCTCAGGCGTGAATGAGATTGGCTGGAACGCCCTTCCCTGAAGAACCAGCTTGGGCTCGATAATGCTCTTGCCCAAGGAACTTCCGAATGGACTCCTCGGTCAGACTAGGTAAGCTTGTATCGATTAAAACCCAGAAACTAAGGGCGCGATCTGCAGTGAGTCACATCTCACTGCTACATTTCCTTTTTGTAGAAAATCTGCAAGATCTCATATCAATAGAAGCGAAAAGACGAGTCCCAGGAAGCAGTCTTGAAGAAGAAGAAGACAAAGACTTGGTCATCGTGCCAGCGGACAAGGGGCGCTTCACGGTTGTGCTGGACAGGACAGACTACCTTCAAAAAGCCAAAGGTTTACTGGAGGACCGACAGTTCTATGTCCCATGTGCAACGAACCCTGTAAAAGCGCTGACACGCGAAATCAATGCTATGTTGTTGGCCTTGGAGAACTCAGGTGCAATAACACCAACCGACAGACGCATGGCGAGACCCCAAGATACGGCTTTGGCCCGATTCTATGGCCTCCCTAAGGTGCACAAAGACGGCGCTCCTCTCCGACCCATCGTGTCGCTCAAAGGGACTCCAACGTACGGACTGGCTAAGTGGCTGTTCCGGCGTCTCAAGTTCCTGACCGCTGAGTCAGACACCACGGTCTCTTCGTCAGCACAATTCCTGGAGAAACTCAAAGGGGTAAGCATTCATCCAAATGAGGTCATGGTATCTTTTGATGTTACATCCCTTTTTACTTCTATTCCCCAGGACCTAGCGATCGAGACAATTGAACTGCTACTACAAAGCAAATACGATGAAACGGAGAACCGTCTTGGACACGCCCAAATCCTTCAGCTCCTGAAGCTCTGTCTCAGGACGTACTTCACGTTCAACGGGACAATCTACGAACAGGTGAAGGGCACACCAATGGGTTCGCCGATTTCGGGATTCATCGCCGAGGCGGTCCTGCAACGGTTAGAATCGCTGGTCTTCCAACACCACAGACCGAAATTCTGCGCCCGGTATGTGGATGACACCTTCGTCGTCATCGAACGGGATCAGGTGTTGACATTCCAAGAACATCTCAACGCCGTCTTCCCGGACATTCAATTTACGATGGAGGAGGAAGAGAACAACCAGCTGGCCTTCCTGGATGTCCTCGTATGCCGCAAGGATTGTGGTGGACTAAAGACCAAAGTGTTCAGGAAAGCGACAAATACGATGCAAGTACTGAACTTCAACAGTAACCACCCAATCAGCCACAAACGCAGTTGTGTAAGGACGCTCTATCGGCGTGTCGAAACGCACTGCAGTGAGCCGGAAGACAAAATTGCCGAACTACAATACCTCCGACGGGTCTTCAAAGCCAATGGCTACCCGCGCAACTTCGTCGACCGGTGCATACGCAAAAGGGACGAAAGGCCTAACCGCACGGACACCAAATCTTGGCGGGCACTTCCGTATGTGAAGAACGTTTCGGAAGCTGTCGGCCGTCTTCTCGCACCACTTGGGGTTGGAGTGGCACCCAGACCGGAGGCAGCCATCAGGCGTCTGATCATGAAACCGAAAGACCCACTGCCACGGCTAGAAACGTCTGGAGTCGTTTATCGGATCTGGTGCAGTTGCGGACAAAGCAACTACGTCGGAGAAACCGGAAGACAGCTCCGAACGAGAATGGCCGAACACGCGGCAGCGGTGCGGAGAAATGACGCCAGCTCTCAATTTGCGGCTCATTCGACGGGTTCCGGCCACACATTCAAATTTGACGAGGCCGAAATTCTCGCAAGAGGTGACAACCGCGTGGGCCGGGAGCTGCTTGAGTCATGGTTCACTGGCCCCCAGTCTATTAACAAGTGCAATGATCTTCCCATTCAATACAGCGTGCTGAGACTTCGTTTAAGCGGAGAAATTGGCCACGCGGGGAGCGCCCTGATGAACACCCGGGTCAGCGCGTCAGATGGTCGAGCAATCATCACACCAACATCCAACGCACGTGATGAAATTGCAGCAATTAACGACGCGAATATCGGCCATCACGCCACGTGCAACGATCCCTGATGAAGGGGAGGGAGCCGTGAATATTCATAGGTATGCGGTGGCATGGCTACTGCATCCTATAAATACTGCAGCCGCATGTGCATGAACCACCCTTATCTGCTTATGTCTCTGATGATGGATTCGAGCAGGAATCCGGAACGTCAGGCTAATAAAGCTCTTGTCCCGGCGATCGTGTTTTCTTCTTCAAGATCTCATATCCTCGGCAAAAACAAAGTGGTTGTCTTAGACTTGGGACATCAATACTTGCCTTAAAACCTGTTCACCCTAACGATAAATGTGAGATGATCAGACCTAAGGTTCGAAGAAGCTGTGATTGTGTGTTGTCTGTTCTTCTTAGTATCTTTGAATGTACCCTTCTAACCAACGAACCCAGGCGATCGGGTGGGGGATGGTGACATATTTGAAGAAGAAGAAGAGTCGAGCACCGGAACAATTCGTTTATTATCCTGAGTTTTCAGACTCGTACAGGAGTCCATCGTCAGAGGTAGTGGCAGAAACAGGACAAGCGGCAGTTATAAGGCACGTAGACCCAATCATCGACCGACGTCCCACGACTGGAGGTGACTACGAAGGGCTCTGTACGCCGGCGCCAGATCGATAAATCGATTGACCGAGTTCTCATCCGAGGCCCAGGCTTCAATCAATTCTCGGCCTTTTTTGTTTCCGGCGTGGGCGACTATTTTGGTGGCTGCAACGTCAAACTCGTGACCCATTTCGTAGGTGTGGGTGGCCACTTGTGATAATGCGTCGCCTCGCCGCACAGCCAGCTTATGTTCGTGTATGCGCGATCCGAGCATGCGTCCCGTCTGGTGACACGATAGTGGACGAAGCGTTTGGAATGTCAACAAGTTTAACACTTTTTCGCTATCGCAAATGCTTTGAAATGGAGGACCAGATGGTGAGTCTGACGGTCTTCCCCTTTGAGGGAAAAAGGCAGCGGTTAGGCGTTTTTGTGTGATGTTAGTGTGTTAGTCGGCCTCTTGGGCACATCTAAGCAAAGGGTGAAAATATCATCCCCGCCGTGGGGCTCATCAGCTGCTCATTAATTTTGGTTGACAGATGAATATGGTGGGTCGTGTGCCGACAGATAGCGCCTTAAGCATCACATTAGAGTGGCGTTTACCGATACGGTCCGGCGGCAGGACGAAACCCGGAGGTTCCACTTCGTTTTGGGGTGTCAGTCTAGGACCTTGATAGACAGTCACCTACGGACGAATACACGGTTGTTGTTGACAGAGGTAGGGGTGACTAGAACCTCTCCGGTTGCAGCTGACAAGGCAGGGCTCAATGGTTCGGACAGCGGAGCATTATGCTGCGTCAAGGGTATTCACCCTTGCAGCGACCCGTTCCAGACGCGATGGCCCGAAACCACTCGACCCCGACTTCAGCTCGGGCACACCTGCGTCCACACAGTCGCAGCTGCCCATGCGGTCACTTGGACGTACCTCCCCCTGCAAGCACAATCTAAGCCACTGGGGCACCACCCCTCGGCAAATGCAACACTCGCCGATTGGAAACCACTTGAGCTTAGTTAACGAGCCCTCAATAGTGGCTGCCAGCACTGTCCCAGAGACTCTCAGGTATGACTGGACACAGTCAACACCAGCCCTGGTTTCGCCAGCAACCACTGCCTCCTGAGAGAACAACCGCGGATTCTCTATACAATAAACCTTCCATTCTGGTGCCTTCCGCCTTTTCCTCCAATACGGGACTTGACCTGATGATAGTAGCGCTCTGAGCACACACTCCCACCGCCACAACGCTTAGTTGTCAGCTGGGTTCCCGACAAAATTTGAGATCCCTCCACATTCTGTGGCTAGAGTTCGGCTAACTGGCGAGAGCGAACAAGCTGGAAATGGCGATGCCATTGTCTTGCAGCGACCCTCCTCACTCCACTCCGCGAGAGTTTTAACCGACCGTCATCATTAAGCCGGCCACCTTATTTGCTTCGGGAATTAACTGCTGCGGTTGATCTGAAGCCACTCTAGCGACTTCAGCTAGGACACACGTGAGTCCAGACGGCCACAACCGTCCACGCCTGCTCAAACATGCCATGTCGCGGCCAGTGCAAAGGAGACCATCAGGCGTGCCCGCCTTCCCCGGGAGTGACGCAACACACCACCTGTACCCAAGACACTTGCTCGCACTAACCTATTAAAGCAGCTAGCACCACTGTTCCGCTGTCTGCGGGACATGCTTTAACACCGTCAGCACTTCCCCTGGCCTCACCAATTAGCACTACCGCCCGAGACAGCCATTCAGGGTTCTGTGCACACTGAAGCCCCCCTCATTCTGCTGCCTTGAATCTTCTCCTGCTAACTGAGACTTGGTTTGGTCATTGTGGTGCTCCGCGTCAACCCACCGCTCGAGCCGCCATAGTTCCCCACTCCTTTAGTGTAGATTGCGCTCAGGGAAAAACACACAAACGTGGACCAAGTCTCCTTTCAGCACCCTCAATGGCTGTGCCAGAGGAGGCAAGTCGTCGTTATATAGTTTTGCGCATGGTGCGCTGCCGCCATCAGACCAGTTCTTTCCATTGTCTCTCGCAGCCATCCAGTTCTCGCGTGGCGGACTGTACGAACGGACCCCGTGCTCGGGACTGCTGCTGGTGGTGTTGTACGGCCGCTGCAACTGCCTCGAGGTTCGGCCAGAACCAGACGAAATTCCTGATAGTGCATCATCTACAACTAAAACTACAGCACACGTATGACGGTCGTCCCGCTCCTATCTTCCAGACGATCTCCCGCCCGCAAAAAGTACAAGTAATTAATTACCTTATATTTGCCCTATTTTTCTGTCGATTGTACCTTAGGTGCATGTGTAATGCGCAACGCAGTCAGCGCCATTCGGCTGGAAGCAAGACAAGGCGTAGTTCGGAATTCACTGTAGTGCGTTTTCACCGATGACCGGTTTTCCTAGTTTACAGTGCCAATACGTTATTGGAAACGGGTTGGTTGTGCTGGTGGTGGTGGTGATAGTGGTGGTGGTGGTTGACATCGTTCCTCGGTCAATACATGCATCAAACACTGAAAAACTTTGATTGCAACAAATGCACACACACACATATTCACATGGGCTGGATTCAAGATCCAAAGTCGATTTCGGCTCATCGACCCTCCTCGTCATGCTCTTTCGGGTGCCTTCCTCGAAGCGGCCTTTGGACTATGGATCGGCGGTTCATAAGTCGTTGCGTAGGGGTCCCCTTAACCCGGTCGATTTCTTTCCTTGAGCAGTCTTGGGCATTGTTATTGCTGTTATTATTATCCAGAACTTCAAACGCTGGCTGTTCAATCGTGATTTCATCCTTGTCTTCCGTTTCAATAGGCGAGTTAGCATCGGAACTGTCAGTGTTCTCGTGACTCTCTGAGTTGTTGCTTCTGCCTAAAAGAAGCAAAATCGTTCAGGACTATTCATAGAAGCGGGAAAAAGTAGGAAACACACTTCATTTTCTTCCCAAAATTATCATCCATACCTGTCTCGAGAGTCCTTCCTTGAGCTGCTTCTTCTCTTTCGAATTCCAAGGGGGTGTCTTCACCCTGCTCCTAAATGACCAAGAAAAAGGGGTGTATAAAACTCTGGAAAATATGTTTATCAGAAGAACGTAACGCTGCAACTTGAAATCAGCCTACCGTTGTCGCGTTTGACACCTCCACTGTCACCTAATTTTGAGGATTAAAAAGAAGTAAAGCATTTCCCAGCATGCCACTCTATCAAAATTAACAGCCTGGAGTTTTGTGTTTTGCACATATCTGAGCTTTATTGAGGATTAGTATGAGTTAAATCATTCGTAACGTCTATCCGTGGTTGCTGTCAGTCTAACATGTCCCGAGCGTTTGTCAAGCTTTTATCCAGCAAATTCGGTGCCCTCTCTCTGCTTCTATTTTTCGCATATCGAATAATTTCCTCGTCTAGAAATCGACTGTCGAGCCAGAGAAGAAATCGTACTGCTTCACGCATATGCATAATCTCCATGAAGAAAAGTTGATAAGAAGGAAGCAGACCATATTGTCTGGTATGGACGCCTGTTGTTGAATGTCAAGCCAGGGCAGCTAGTTCCTAACGGGTTACGCTTAGATGTGCAGCTTGCCTCGCAGCATTCAGGGCATGCGGTCGACGTCTCGCGACGATCGAACTGTTGGGATATTGCAGATGGCAGCGTTTCAAGAAGACGGAGAAACCATTGACCCAACACCTACGAAACACAGACGACCCGAACGTTTGTCAGGCATAACTTCCCTCTTGATTGTACTCAAAAGAAAAAATGCAGGCGAAAAAAAAGGTTGGAATTATGCCGGAGAGAATGCTTACTGACCCGCATTTTGTCATCTATAGAACCCTACTTGGCATTTCTAGGCCAATGTAGAAATGAAATTATCAATGCCAATGGTTAACCAGCAACCTTAAGGACGCTCCCATTAAGCCGAAAGCGGGAAGATGTAATTCAAAAGAAACTGAAAATACAGCACTTATTGGAGTGACAGCCAGCACACCGTGCTGAGCTGCCGTATAGTGTGAACAAGTTAGCCAATCGTAGAATTATTCATGTCTGTGTCTCCTTATTTTTCTGGTGTCATGGGAATGCTGTTGAGGATGTCATTCATACGAATCTCGCGAAGACTGTGACTGACAGAAGGGTGCTATTGTTCTGAAAGCAATAAGAATAACAGCTTACATTCTCATTTGGAGCGTCACCCGTTTGGTCTGGTGTTAACGATGACGTCATATTGGTTTGACTGCCGTGCTTTTCAGTACGCCTGCTTAGGCCGTTCTTTCGTTTT